GGACTGCGTGTCATAGACTCGTATATACGTCTTCAATGCCAAAAACATCTACCGTCAGTTGTATGGTGCCGACGCAACGGGGTTTGAGGCGTCGTCTGGTTGGCTGGCACGCTTCAAAACCCGTCGAAACTTGGTCTCTCGCAGGCAGACCACGACAAGATCGTTACCAGTGGACGCGCCGGATATTTGCCGTGGGTTTATCCAACGCGCCCAGTACCTGATCACCAAGCATGGCATCAAGCCGAAAACCATCATCAACATGGACCAGGTGCCTCAGTACTTCGAAACCGAGCCCAAGTCTACGATCACAACGCGTGGTTCGCGCGAGGTTTTACTACGCAAAGGAGGATCAAGTCACAAGCGTTTCACGGCAGCGTTTGCTATTACGGGCGAGGAGGAATTTTTGAAGCCACACCTCCTGTTTCGCTAAGCTAAAAAACAAGCCGAAGTGCCCGTAGGGTGTCTTGGTTGACGTTAATCGGACCGGAATGTGGAACGACGACTTGCTTCTGGCTCATGCGGAGTCTGTCATCTGTGCGCATATGGAGACTCAGCTCTATAGAGAGCCCGTTCTTTATCTGATCGACTCGTACGGTTGCCACGTGAAGCTGGCAGAGTCCAAGCGCTTGGAGCGCTACAATGTCTTCGTGTTGATTGTACCCCCAAACCTCACCAACCTGTTACAGCCCTTGGATGTTGCTGTAAACCGTAGCTACCAGGAGTTCTACCGCTCTAAGTACGACGACTACATTGGCAGAGCGCTACAAGATCCGTTCCTGCAGACCAAGGCTGGAAACTGGAAGGTCCCCCGGTACAATGCGGTGGCACAATGAACACTTGATTGGGTCGCGTCGAAGACTGCAGAGGATGTGAAGAAGGCCTTCACGTTGTGCGAATTGGTTGCGAAGGAGGAATTCGAAATGGACAAGCTGCACGCGCCACTGAAAGACATTCTGAGGACTGACTTCAACATAAATACGTGGCATGCGGCCTACCAGCACCTCATCAGTGACGGCGCTACACGAGAGCTGGTTCGATTCTCCGCTCCTGATTGGTACATACCAGTCGACGAGAGAAGAAGCCTGTTTTGCTGCTTTGTTCATGGGCTTGACATCTCGGTGTACGAGTATGCAATGACCCTGACAAACTACATGGCTACACTGGGTGACTTGGATGGACTGTTGGACGACGAAAATCTGGCCGATGTGAGGGAAGGCAGAGCAATTCCTGCTGAGCTCGAAATTTATGCAGCCTCCAAGATGCATGGATGGAACATTACTCTCAAGGCCGTTGACGATGGAAGCCGGCTTACCTCGTGCTTCACCTATCATGCGGAAAATGCGACCAAGGACGTTATCCTCGTGCGTGGTGGAGGATATTTTGCGGTTAAGGTGGACGGATATGTGTTGTAGATAGATAGCCAACACAATAAAAACGTACTTCAAGTACTTTTATAATAAGAAAAAGAATGTTAGTATTTGTTTAGATGCGATGGAAATGGACAAGCTTTTTATACCTTTTTTGTGCGGAGCATTAACGAGTATTGACTCGCGACGGCCCTCTTCCCATAATGGGCCCTCAATTGACACGACGGGATCGAACCATGGACCAGTGGCATACCAATCCATGCCCATACCAGTTGAGCCGTCAGCATGTTGCAGTTGAAGTTGTTTATAAACATATTAATGCTTTCAAATGGCTGCAATATTATGTAAAATCGTAGCTTTCCATTTGAATATTGAGTTTTATCATTCCAGTGGTGCGTTCTGCAAACTTAACGTGTTTGTTCGTTGTATACCGCCTAGGCGCTCAAAACGAATACTGCACTCATCGTGTGCTGTATTCTAATAGAGCGCCCATGCGCTTTATGCGGGGTAAGACGGTAGTGGCGCTTTAGAGTCATGGACGGCCCGCAGACTTATCCCCAAGGCCTTGCTTGG